GGGCAGGCAGAGGGGGGACAGCTGGCGCCTCTGGTGCCCGGGTCTCCCCTCTCTGGGTAAAGTTCCTCTGCATTTGCTCAGTAGAGGCTTCTCTGTACCCCACGCCACACACCCACACTGGTATCTCACTCTTGATAAGAATGCTGAAGGCCTCCAGGCCCTCCCTTCCCCCACAATGCCCGCTCCAGCCTTTTCCAGCCCGAAGCTCAGCAGCTGCAGTGGGGGTGGACACGGGGGGGGGGGGGGGGGGGTCTGGGTCTTGGCAGGTGCCTGAACACTTCCCTCCCCTCCCAGGTCCGGAGGCTAGAGGGGCACCACCTGGGGCCGGCAGTGGGTCAGCAGCTCCTGCCAGCGGATGTGGGTCTGGGTAGCCAGGTCCTTGAGCGTGGTCCGGTGCATGGCCTGGGGGCTCTCCCGGATATGGGTATTGATGTGACGGTCCAACTGCATACACAACAGCCGCAGCTCTTCCTGCAGAGGCACCGTGGAGGGGCGGCCGGAGAAGGAAAGAGGAGAGGGACAGGGCAAGTGCTGGGGCACATGTCAGTAACTCTTGAGAAGGCCCCATGGGATGCTGGGAGAAGGCAGAGGCCTGCTCCATGCCCCCCCACCCCCCAACTGCTGCTGCTTCTTAGCCCCTCTTTGCAGTTCCTGAGAGCAGGGTGGGCTCCGCCCCAGCTGACTGTAGCCCAGCCTCTTGGGAGACTCACCCGCTGGTCTGGAGTAATGTCTTGGCAGCTGACCACCACCCCAGCGAGTGTCAGGAGGCTGTGGCACAGGTAGCAGACCTGGAGAGAGCACAGGAGACGGGCCTCCCTGAGTCCCTCACCCCAGTCCTCCTTCCAGGCCCTGCAGGGTGAGGGCTGGGCTTCCAGCCAGTTTCCTGGGAGGCGTCTTTAAGGAGCCCAGGGCCCCACTCACAGGGCTCTCCCTTCCTTCAGAAAAGGAAGAAACCCTTCCCTCCAGAGCCCATGCTGCCCCAGCCCTGTCCGGGGCTCCAGTGGAGAGAGCGCCGCTAGGGAGGGGCTGTCCACTCTGACCTCTGCCCTGCTCCTCAAGGTGCCACCTACTTCTATGGGCGCTGTCACTGGGGGCCACTCTCCTCGATTGGGGGGGCGTGGCCCATGGGTGCCCAGCTCACCCCTGGGTGGGAACACCACTTGCACAGACAGATGTGCAGCCCATCCAGACATTCAGACCTGCAGACACGAGGAGGCAGGCGAAGAGGCGGAGCAGAGTGATGGCTGTGGGTGCGCATCTGCACGCCTTACCCACCAACGCATACCCTTGCTCTTGCCCTAGAGACTGAAGGGTGCCATTTGGGCCGAATGGTGTGATCCCAGGGCCCTGGACTCTGTGGGTGCTCACTCATCTGCTGTGCAGAGAAAAGGAGGTACTGGGAGCACCCTAAAGACCGGCGAGGCCCTGCTGTGGAGACGGTCTGCTCCTGGCACTCTGAGGTTCTGTCTGTGGACACCCCCACCTCGGACTCCTATGTCTGAGACAGGGAGGGTGGCAGGAAATGACCCTGACCTGCCCGTACCTGCAGATAACCGGCCCTGAGGCTGAGCTGGAGGGAGAGGCAGCTCCAGAACGGGGCTGGAGCTCAGAACCAGCTCAAGGCTCCCCCTGCCATCACTTCCCCCTAGAGCACCAATGGTACCCAGAAATAGGGCATCTTCTTTGCACAGACCAGAAGCCTCCTTAGAGCAGAAGCTAGATCCACTTTCGAGGGCACCAGACTTGGCACTGTGGAATAGTCTTCTTGATATCAAATGCCACAGTGCAAAGACTGACGGGAGACCACCTGCCACTCCCCCAGCAGCACCTGCCCTGCGCAGACCCAGCCTGTTCTTCAACACGGCAGCAACGCTCTCAGGTGCCCTGACCGTAAGACAGGCTGGAAGCACAAAATTCACCGAGAGGGACTCGGTGTGCTGGGGTTCA